ACGCCAGGCTCTCGTTCCTCCGCCAGCCGTCGCCGTCGTCGACCGCGACCAGCAGGTTGTGTCCGTGACGCTCGAGGCGCACCGTGTGCCAGGCGCCGTCGCCCAGCGGGAAGCCCTCCACGCACGCCTCCAGGGCCGCCGCCGCCGCCTCGCCCGACGCCGCGCCCGACGCCCACGCGCACGCCACGCCCGCGCGGAGCTGCCAACATGGAAAGGATTAAAGATAAAAATGAGTAATTCGGGTCCTTCGGCGCTTGCTGCCTGCCGATAAATCAATGTCTGGCGTAACTTTTCATATCTCCGGAGGAACCGCGTCTCGTTCTTTCACCTCTTCCCTTGCTCTCTCCTCTTTTTGCTTCTCTGGCCATATGTGTCTGTCTGTTTGTTATTCAGTTTTCGTCTTCACGTGTTTGAGATCGTCCGTTTGTCATTCATCATTCTATCTGTCAATATGTACTGTATTGTTCCCCACGTCCCCATTCGCCCTTCACCGCTCGCCTCCCTCCATCTCTCCCAAAAGCTTCATTTTATTCTTTGCATGTGGTATGGCTGCAGATTTTTTGGTAAACAGAATATTTCAGTTTCAGCTTTGCTTCCAGTCTCCCATCTCTCGTTCCTTTTCCCTCCCTACTCCCTTCCCTTACCTTCCCCTAACTTCCCGTCTTTCTTCTTCCCTCTCCTTTCTCTCCTTTCACTTCCTTCCCTCTCTCTATCTTTCCTTTTCCCCCACTTTCTGCCTTCCCTTCCCTTCCCCTCAGTTCGTTCCTTCAACTTCCCCTCTCTCCCTTCTCTTCCCTCCCCCTCTCTCTTTTCCCTTCCCTTCTCTCTCCTTTCCCTTCCTTCCTTCCATTCCTTTCCCTTCCCTTCTCTCTTTTCCCTCCCTTTCCACCTCTCCCTATCTTCTTCCCTTCCCTTCTCTCCTTTCCTCCCCCTCTTTCCCTCTCCCTCCTTCTTCCCCCTTCCCTTCCCCTTCCTCTCTTCCTCCGCTTCTCTCCTCTTCCCCCTCTCCTTACCTATCCCCCCCCCCCACCACCACCACCTACTCACGCGGAGTGTAACAGCAGCCGCCCTGTGATGAGCGAGGACCTGCAGCAGAACCCCGTCGGGCCTTCCCCTCGTCCGCACTCGGAGCTGTGCCGTAATGACGTAAGGATCGGGCGTGAACGACAGCGCAACCTTAACGAAGGAGTCGTGAGCGAGGGCTATGGGTTCGGTGGGCGTGGAGCAGGTTCGACCCGCCCATCCAGGGTCGCAGCTGCACTCCGGTTTGTTCAGGCCGCCCACGCACCGCCCGCGGAACCCACAGTCAGCCATTCTTGTTCTGCAGGCTGCGTCTTGGGGTTCACAGCCCTTGGAGCTCCCGCTGCTGTAGGCCGGCTCGCCCAGGTCTACGAGCTGCGGGCGGGGGTAGAGGAGGGGGGGGGGGCTGTTAGTTGGGCAAGAATGTGTCAATTTGTAAAGAATATGTTAATTAGGAAGAGAATATGTTAATATAGGAAGATTTATGTCCATATGTTAATATAGGAAGATTTATGGTAATATGTTAGTATAGGAAGATTTATGTTAATTTGTTAGTACAGGAAGAATTATGTTAATATTATAATATAGGAAGATATATGTTAATATTGGAAGAATTATGTTAATATATTACTATAGGAAGACTTATGTTAATATGGTAATATAGGAAGATTTATGTTATTATGTTAATATAGGAAGATTTATGTTATTATATTAATATAGGAAGATTTATGTTAATATGTTAATATAGGAAGATTTATGTTAATATGTTATTATATGAAGATTTATGTTAATATGTTAATATAGGAAGATTATGTTGGCACGAATATGTTAATATGGAAAGAACATGTGAATGTAGTTAGAATGTAAATTTTGAAAGAAAATATTAATTTGGAAAGAATATGTTAATTTGGCACGAATTTGTTAATATGGAAAGAACATGTGTATTTAGTTAGAATATAGTTAGAACATGTGTCTTTCCTTAGAATATGTTATTCTTGAAAGAATATGTTAATTTGGAAAGAAAATGTCAACATGGGAAAAATAGGTTATTATAGGATATAGGATTATGTTAAGAATTTAAATTTAGGAAGAATATGTTAATATTGAAAGAACATGTTTAACATTGGAAGATATGTTAATATGTTAATTCGAGAATAATATGTTAATGTGAGAAGATTGTACTAAATTGAAAAGAATATCTCAGTTTGAAAAGAATACGTTAATTTAGTAAGGATATGTTAACTAAAAGAATATATGATTATATGGGAAGATTATATTTGAAAATAACATATTAATTCAAGAAGAACGTATGAATATATTTAATTTAGTAAGAATGTGTTAATTTTGAAAGAATATGATTATTGGCGAAGAATGTGTTAATAAAAGAAAAAAAAAAGAAAAGAAAGAATATCTTATTTGGGAAAGAATTATCAATTTGGGAAGAATATGTTAGTTTGGTAAGAATTTGTTCATTTGTTAAGAATATGTTCGTTTGGTAAGAATTTGTTCATTTGTTTAGAATATATTAATTTGGTAAGAATTTGTTCATTTGGGAAGAATATGTTAGTTTGGTAAGAATTTGTTCATTTGTTAAGAATATGTTCGTTTGGTAAGAATTTGTTCATTTGTTTAGAATATATTAATTTGGTAAGAATTTGTTCATTTGGGAAGAATATGTTAGTTTGGTAAGAATTTGTTCATTTGTTAAGAATATGTTAGTTTGGTAAGAATTTGTTCATTTGTTAAGAATATGTTAATCAAGTAAAATATGTGTATAATATAAGAATATGCTAATAAGGTAGTAATATGTTGATTATTTAAGGATATGTAAATCAGGTAAGAATATGTTAAATTGAACAAAAATATATTAATTGAAAATGTGTCAGTGTGATGATTAGACAATAATATGCTAATCATTTAAGAATATATCATACAGTTAAGAATGCGTTAATTATTAAGAATATCTTCGTTAAGTAAGAACATATTAATTGGGGTGAGAATGTGTTAATTAGTTCAGAATATTTTGATTAGGTAAGAATATATTAATGATTCTAATTGAAAAAGAATTATTTATATGCATATGCCCCCTCAAATTATAGTACAGGAAATAGTTTACACAACAATTTAGAATTATATGCAAATCACGTTAGATTTCATTTAAATGAATTATGGGTAATTTTTGTACCTGCACCCACCACCCAGTAGAGAGAGAGAGAGAGAGAGAGAGAGAGAATGAGAGAGAGAGAGAGAGAGAGAGAGAGAGAGAGAGAGAGAGAGAGAGAGAGAGAGAGAGAGAGAGACGGTGGGGGGTAAGAAAGGGAGAGAGAGAGCGAGAGAGAGAGATAGACAGATAGATAGATAGAGAGAAAGAGAGAGAGAAACAGACAGACAGACAGTCAACCAAAAGGACGGACAGACAGACAGAAAAACAAACAGACAGTCAACCAAAAATACAGACAGATAGACAGACAGTCAGCCAAAAGGACAGCCAGAAAGACAGTCCATTTACCTGCCCATTGACCGTGAGGTGCGAAATGCATCCGTCCAGCGCCTCGGGAATCGGGCCGAAGCTCCAGCCGAAGAAGGCGGGTTCGGGGAGCGGGTGCGCCAGCCCCCCTAGCTGCAGCGGGGCGTTGCCACTCCAAGCCTCGGTGGCGTGGGCGTCTATCCAGGTGGCTCTGGCGGCGCAGTGGGCGTCGCTGGTGGCGTCCGCCCAGCCGCGCCCGCACATGTCGACCATGAGCGTAACACCCTGGGGTCAGTGTGCGAGACTGATTACTGGATTTGAGCGAAACGTTTTCTTTACAGTAAAAAAAGAAAGAGAAGAAGAAGAAGAAAAGGAAAGTGAGAGAGAGGGAGAACCGGCTGCCCTCACCTGGCTGTTGAGGTGCACGTGCAGCGTGTGCCAGGTGCCGGTGCTGACGGAGGCGTTGACCTGCAGCCTGACGCGGCCGCGGGCGCCCTCCATCACCAGCTGCGGGCGGCCGTCCACCAGCTGCAGCGCCATCATGGGCGTGGGCGGGAAGCGCGGGCGGGCGGAGGCGGCGGAGAGCGGGCCCGAGTACAGCACGAGGGCGCGCGGGCGGCGGGTGAGCAGGCGCAGCGAGAGGGTGCTGGGCAGGCAGGGCGGCAGCGGCGGCACCCACGCCCACCCGGCGCCGCCGAAGGTGCGCGACGCCACCTTGCAGCGCGGCCCCGAGGCGCCCCCGGGGCACACGCACCTGCGGGGGGCGGGGGGGAGGGGAGGGTAATTAATACCAGGGGACGAATATCAGGTGCAAGTCGGGTGTCAAGGAGAGATTACCGAAGCCCTCTCGGTTTCCTTTTCCGACGGAACATAGACGGTGAAGGGGTAAAAATGGCAGAGCTATTTACCGACAAATAATGGTGATAGTAACAGTAATAATGATAATAATAGTGATAATAATAATCATCATAAAAAACAATAATATTGAAAGTAACAAAAACAACAGCAATAACAATAATACTAATATTAATGATAATGTTAATAATGATAATATAATTATTAATATTAGTAATAATAAATTTGTAACAACAATAACGATAACACTGATGCTAATAATGACGATAAATAAAATCACAACTGGATAACAGTAAGAACCTATAAATGATAAAGAACAAACAGAAATAAGAAGAAAAGAAAAGAAATGTATCTACCAAAATACGGACGCAATAAAATATGGATAAAAATGCAAAGGTAAATGGTATAAAAGACACAACAAAAGAATGTGAACAAAAACTAAAATGGGATAAAGAAAAAAACACAACGAAGGAGAGTGAAAAAGAGGAAATAGAATAAAGATGAAAAGATCACAACAAAGAAGATTGCAAAAAAGAAAACAGAATAAAGATGAAAAAAAAACACAGCAAAGGAGAGTGAAAAAGAGAAAACAGAATAAACACGGAAAAAAAAACGAAGGGAGGAAAGAAAAAAGGAATAAAGAGGAAACTAAAATGGAAAGGAATGAAAACAGACAACAGGAAAAGAACAGAAAGACATCAAAGAAAGAAAAACAAGAACATCAAAGGAAGAAAGAAAGAACAAAAGAAAAGAGACTGATAGACACTTTCACAATAAGAATAGACAGACAGAGAGAGAGATAGATACACGATAGACGGAGAGAAAGACAAAATGCCAACCAGACATACAGACATCAAGACAAAATGACAAAAAAACAACAGACAAACCGAAAGAAACATCAGAAACAAAGAAACAAAGAGACATCAAGACAAAATGACAAAAAAAGACAAACTGAAAAAAAGGACAGACAGACAGACGAAAAGATAAACAGACAATTGACAAAAACAACATTAAGACAAATACGCAGCCACGCTAAGGGCTCTTTACTCCTGCCGCAGCCGCCCGTGCTACGCACAGTCCGTGCTTCCCACCTGTTCCCCTTGTCCGTCCTGACGCAGCGGCCGCCATTGAGGCAGGAGCGCTCCGTGCACGCCGCGTCGCCGTCGCGGGCGTGCAGGCGGCAGTCGTGGGCGCGGGTGAGACGCGGCGTCACCAGGGAGGTCGAGTTCGTGTCCACCACCTGGGGGAGGGGGGAAGGGGGGGTAAGAATGGAGAGGGAGGGAGGGAGAGAGAAGAGAGAGAGAGAAAGAGAGAGAGGGGGGGCGGGAGGGAAGGAGGATGAAAATGGGAAGAGAGAGATAGGTGGAACGTAAAGATGGGAATGAGAGAGAACAAGACGAAAATGGATAGAAGGAAGGAGAGAGAGAGGGAGAGAGGATGAATATGTGAAGAGAGAGAGAGATGGAGAGTGCGAGTAGGGAAAGACGAGGGATAAATAAATAGATAGATAGATAAAGGGACAGAGGGATAGATAAACAGATAGATAGATAGACAAATAGATAGTAGATAGACAGACAGAAGAAGAAGCCAATAATCATAAAACGTGTATAGTAGGAGTATATTGCATCTCTCCTGCAATATTTCCTTTATGCTTTGATTTTCTTTCTTTCATTTGCTCTTTCATGTGCGTTTGAAAAGGGAGACCATTTTAATTAACTTGTGTAACAATGCCCACACAATCACAAATACATATACACACAATTAATCAAACAAACACACACACACACACACACACACAAACAAACAAACATACACACGAATTCATCCATCTATATATCTGTCTATATTTATCTATCTATCTATCTACGTATCTATCTAATTAATCTATCTATCTATGCATATAAGTATGCATGTACGTACATATATAAACGGAATGCAAAATTTCTCTAAAAAAACATCATCTATATTTCACGTTGGCAATCTTTTCATCACAATCCTCTTACTAACAAGTTTTCCTCCATGAGTTAAGATTTTTCTTGAGGAAAACATAAAGCGTAAAACAATCTTCAGCAAATTAAGGCAACATATAAACTTGTAACCGACGAACTTTTAAAGAGATGTATAGTTTGCAGTTGTGAAGTATGGACACATAAATAAAATAGATAGATAGATAGCCAGATCGTGAGAGTAATGGCTCGTTGGGTAAAAGTAACTACACACACACACACACACATATATGTGTGTGTGTTTATATATATATATATATATATATATATATATATATATATATATATATATATATATATATATATGTATATACATTCATACATACATACATACATACATACACACACACACACACACACACATATATATATATATATATATATATATATATATATATATATATATATATATATATATATATATATATATATATATACATTCATTCATTCGTACATACATACATACATACATATATATACATATATATGCATACACACGACTTTTTTTCTTTACCTGCAAAGGCAGAGCTGTGGAAGCCAAGGAAGCCACAGACGAAGGCTCCTGCGTGTCTGTGGTGTCTGTAGGCGTGGCGACGTTGCCCTCTGTCTGGTCCTCGATGCTGACGGCGTCCTCGACGGTCACTCGAACGTTCATTACACTCTCAAGCTTAATGGGAGAAAGACATAAGGGGGAATCTTCAAGGAATCGAGGAGATTGGAGGATTGGTGTATTTGGATCAGGTTCTTACGCTGCGGTTCCCTTGGCTCCTCGAGGAATATGGGAATGAAGGATGTGAACGCTTCCCTTTTATCATTTTGATTAACCTAATCAGCAATATACGGAGAAAACTTATCTTAAGTAAACAATTCGAAATATAAGATCGATGGATAAACAAATGAACAAGTAAATAAATAGAAAAGAAATAAACACGTCCAAAAAATAAATAAATAAATAACGAACAGATATATCAAAATGAACCAAAGTCTGAACCTCGCAGTAAAATTCCTCGACTCATTTCAAACACTTTCACTGTTGGTTACAAAGTGCGTGTACGTGGCAGTCGGTCTCACTTCTCTGTCAAATTATTTAATCATTTGGGAATCTTATCTGAGGAGAATATCCCTAACTAATAGCATTAACTAATATCATTAGATACTTAGTGAAGTATTTACTCTCCAATCTCGGTATGAAAGTTTTATGCTCGTGATATAACATTAGTTTTTTTTTCTTCGTTCGATATTTTCTTCTCGTCAACCGAAAAAGATAGATATACACGAATCAAAGGAAATGACGTCATGTTTGATACAAGCTTGCTAATTCTACGCATAATCTACAATCAAGTTCATTTCCATACTATATATTTCTCTCTTGCCTTTCTGTAGGATGATAAACATTAATATACATCACAAAAAAAAATTGCGCTATTTCAAGGCTCAGGTTATATTTCATAAACGTTATATTAGATTATATCTGAAGCCACAAGAGATTTTTCTTTCTTTTTTCATATATTGTTCATCCAGTTAAAATTGTATCAATTCAGCCTTTTATATTTTATTTGTTGTTTCCAAATTAAAATAAAAATGAAGATGTAATTCAAGCTTCGGTCTTGGACTTAAATATACTTAGATATCATTTTTTAGTGCATAAATTGGTCACACATTTCCTTTTTCTTTTTTTTACGTTTTCTTTTCGTTGATATTGAAGTCCAACGGAAAATACAATGAAAATTCAATTTACTTAACTTTTGCTGTAGATGCATAACAAGCAAAAAATGGGAAGATACAAATACAATTCAGAAAATCATATGTAAATATTCCAGCTTTCCTTTGTATTTTATTTTGGAAAATTGGAGAGAGAGTGAGTAAGTGAATGAGAGAGAGAGGGAGAGGGAGAGGGAGAGGGAGAGAGAGAAAGAAAAAGAGAGAGAGAGAGAGAGAGAGAGAGAGAGAGAGAGAGAGAGAGAGAGAGAGAGAGAGAGAGAGAGAGAGAGAGAGAGAGAGAGAGAGAGAGAGATGTATATGTGTAGATAGAGAGAGAGAGAGAGATGTATATGTGTAGATAGATAGATAGATAGATAGATAGAGAGAGAGAGATGTATATGTGTAGATAGAGAGAGAGAGAGAGAGAGAGAGAGAGAGAGACGAAGAGAAGCCGCGACAAGTACATTCGATCTACATTTTTCTTTAAGGGGGGAGGGGGGGAGTAGTAGTTAGTGAAGGAGGTAAATACATTCCATTTCCATGTCTTGTAATTCTCACCATCACTTGAGGAAGAGAATATAGACTTTATTTTCATGTGTAACAAAAAAAGTTGACAAAAGCGTTTAATTTTTTTTCAGAAATGTTTTCCCGGGCTTAGGTTAGGTTCGGGGAGGGCGGGGGTGGGGGGTTGACCATTGTGAATTCAATTAAAATGTGGCAGTTTATCACTCCCTGTTATGAAGTTTGAGTCATCCTCTTGCAACTACTATCAATGCCTCTAGCATCAATTGCCTAATGTTACTGTCCCTTCCTAATGCAGTAGGAACGTAAAACCCGTAACTTAGATAACTTAGGTCTTTGTGTCTGCTACCGGAGAAGCTCTAGTCTAAGTCAAGGATTCTCAAACTTTTATTTTATTTATTATTATTATTATTTTTTTTTTGTCAACGACCCCTAAAAATTACTTGTTGCTCAGCAACAAAGTAATAACTATGGCCAATATTACAAGATCTTCGGTGTGGAATATTCTACACAGGAAAGAAAGCATGCATACATAACTTGGCTATAAGATGCATTATCAAGCATCGGGTAGGTCAATCACCTGTACAAGACGTGTTAGGAAGGGTAGAGGGAGAAAGGGGAGGAGAAAGAGAAAGAAGAAGATTGGGTTAAAGCATCTCGCGACGCCTCTGGAGGTCGGAACCTTTCTTTTGAATACTTTTGGTCTAGGGCATTCGTTTCCGGTCTTTCTCGACTCCCCACCCTCTCCCAGAACTGCTTGTTTAAATGGTCTACCACTGACTCAAAGGTTTTCGAAATGGAGGTCTACTGAAGAAAAGTAATCTTAGTGACACACATTACGTAACTGCATATGATAAAAAACTGTATATATCTATATATGTAGAAAAGGTATGACTGAATATGAATATCTTCACAATACAAGAGATGTATTTGACCGGTTTCGGTTATATCTTCGTTAGAAATACATGTATTTCTGATGAAGAGGTAATCGAAACCGGTCAAATACATCTCTTGTATTGTGAAGATATTCATTCTCAGTCATACCTTTCTTAAATGTATCAATAGCAATACGGTTCATATCTATCTATCTATCTATCTATCTATCTATCTATCTATCTATATGTCTATTTATCAATCTCTCTCTCTCTCTCTCTCTCTCTCTCTCTCTCTCTCTCTCTCTCTCTCTCTCTCTCTCCTCTCTCTCTTTCTACCTATCTTTCTATCTCTCCCATTCTTACCCCCCCCCCACCGTCTCTCTCTCTCTCTCTCTCTCTCTCTCTCTCTCTCTCTCTCTCTCTCTATATATATATATATATATATATATATATATATATATATATATATATATATGTATATATATATATATATATATATATATATATATATATGTATATATATATATATATATATATATATATATATATATATATATATATATATATATGTATGTGTGTGTGTGTGTGTGTGTGTGTGTGTGTGTGTGTGTAGGCTTTAGAAAGTTTATTTCTACCTTCCATGCAACTAATTCTAATATATTTTACAAAGGAGCCATTTGCAGACCCTTTGCTCTATTGTGACCATCGGCTGGGAAAAGACGTTCTATGATATTAATGTTTAATAATTCTATCACTGACATTAAGGCATTTGAAAGTAATAGCTTTTCTGAATTTAAAACTATTCATTAATGCAGTTCAAGAGGAAAGACCACTTCTATAATGTTCTTATACATTAGTAGTATGAGGGAAACGTAATGACGTAACGATTCAGTTAATAATATGATTTTGCGCATCAGAAATCAATGTTGCACGTGTGCAAAGTAATTTACTAAATTATAAATGAATTATCACCAATCCCATTGTGTATTCTCCCTGATCAACAGATTAAGAATGATATCAAGTATAGTACAATTATAGTTAAGTATAGTACAATTATAGTTAAGTATAGTACAATTACTTCCCAGTTTCCCAGTTCAATCAATCAATAAAAAAAATACTAAATAAGTAAAATAATAACAAAGAAGAAAATAAATAAATATAATAAGAAAAGAAAAAGAAAGATAGCAAACGGTAAAGATAACAAAATATCTTTTGATCTATTAATAGGCCAATTTTATGACACGTTTTTTACAGGCCCTTTTCCAGGGGCGACTAAAGGAATTATTCGGCCCGAAAAAGTTGGTTAGAATTGGCGGTAATTTTAATTGTATACGAAAGGCACTGTTAGTGTTTATAGATATCAATATTGTGACTATTTTAATGATGATGATGATAATAAAAATAAAAAGAATAATGATGATGATGAGGATGATGATAATGATTAAGATTTTAAAAAAATTGATAATGATATAAAAATAATTGTGAAGATTGATGATGGTAATGATAATGATAGTTATGATGATGATGATGATATTGATTATGCTGATGATAATAATAAGTATAATATCCATGACAATACTATAATTACGGATAATTTTAACAATAATAGTAATAATAATAATAATGATAACAACAAGAACAACAACAATAATTATAATAATGATAATAATAATAATAATAATAATAATAATAATAATAATAATAATAATAATAATAATGATAATAATAATAATAGTAATAATAATAATAATGATAATAATAATAATAATAATAGTTATAATAATGATGGTATGATGATGATGATGATGATGATGATGATGATGATGATGATGATGATGATGATGATGATGATGATGATGATGATGATGATGATGATGATGATGATGATGAAGATGATGATGATAATAATAATAATAGTAATACTACTAATAATAAAAAAAAAAAATAATAATAATAACAATAATAATAATAAAAATAATAAATATAATGATAATAATAATGATTATATGATGATGATAATAATGATGATAGTAATGATAATCATGATATTAACAACAAGCAACAAATAGCCATGGAAATACTTAATCTTCTACGTTATCTGAGTACTTACTTATTTGCTTTCTTTTTTTTTATTAATTTTTCAACTGCTGAAAATATCTAATTAACTGCTGAAACCGCCATTGATATCGAGTAGAAATGTGTTTAATTTTCATTAACTCCAAGTTAAGCAAAGGAATTATTAACAGTGGACAAGCATCAAGTTAAAAATGATCGGGGCGGTTGATTAATGTGTCTAAGCTTGTCCAATAAGCTAATATTTGATATTTAAATTTTTGATAACTATATGCCGATATCTTATGTCTGTGAGCGTTTGCGTGTATGTGTGGTGTGTGTGCGTGTGTGTGTGCGTGTGTGTATGTGTATGTGTATGTATGTATGTATGTGTGTGTGTGTGTGTGTGTGTGTGTGTGTGTGTGTGTGTGTGTGTGTGTGTGTGTGTGTGTGTGTGTGTTATCTGTATATGTCTATGTATATCTCAGTGTTTATGTGAACACGAAATTCCCACATTCCTTACTAATATTAATCAACAGTAATTAATGCATCAAAAATCCTATGATAAAAATGCACACACTATCAAAAGGATCTTCGTTGATCACCTCTGTTAAGTGGGCGTAATGTGAACTGATTGACGTGTCCCAGCTACGGGCGCAGGTGTGTCGACAATGAATTAGCTTTATGATCGAATTTGAACCAAAGGTTAATCAAATCCAGTGGCGAATTCCCACCTCAGTGAATCCCGTGAAATTAAGCTCTCATGCAGAGAGATAAGAGTACGTTTAATCATGAACTATTTGTATATATATTCACACACACACATACGCACATATATATGTGTGTTTATATATATATATATATATATATATATATATATATATATATATATATATATATATATATATATATATATATATATATATATGTATATATATATATATATATATATATATATATATATATATATATATATATATATATATATACACACATATTTAT